AGGATGCTAATTAAGCATCCATGGATTATTTTAATATGTGACCAATCCAACTTCTTGTTTGTTCATTTCTTTATTTTTGTCACTATTCCACATCTGTAATATGTTACCATCTTTAAAATTATATAAAAGAAAGATGGTAGACTACCTATTTATTAAATAGCTTTTGATGAGGAAAAAACCCTTTAGGCTAAAGAATATTCAAAGACAGTTTACACAAACAATATTTTTATTTAGATTACACAGGTTTTTTTATTCCTTTTATACTGGTTGATTTCTTTATGTTCTTGATTTCATGGTGGGGATGGGGGGAGAACAACGAAGGGAAGGATGGAGGAGAAGCATACTAATAAATGCAATTGCTTTTGGGGGGGGATTTTTTTTTTAAAAAAAGGAGACAAAAGAGAACAGCTGTTTTTAGCAGCAACAGTGGTGAAAAGTAGCCTTCCCTCTGCCTGTGGTGTGGAAGGGATCTAAAGGAGACGAGGCAATAGAATAGCTGAGCCCTCTGCCGGCTAAAGCCTCCTCTACTTCAGTAACCTCTGAAGAAAGTGGGGGGGAGGAAGAGGAGGGCAGATCAGGGTCTAAACAACTACTTGTACCTTTGTAACCTTTGGAATCATGGGACACCTTTGCCCTCTATGTGGGAGGTTGCAACAATGGAAGCCTGTGAAGGTATAAGACTCTCCTCTGAGTATTAACAAAGGGAGATAAAACAGCCCCTTGTAACTCGTCATGGTGGCCTTTGAATACAAAATACCATTGAGTCACAGCATGAAACTTGGGCTCCTCTGCTTGTGCTGTACAGTAATGCATCACAGTTAGAGAGAGCTGTGACAACAAGCTTTCATGACAGAGATTTCCAGTTTTTTGGAAGGCAAAGGGAAGACGTATAAAACTTTTGTACTAAAGAGATTAGTAACTTGACAAGAACAAGCAAAAAAGGAAAAAAAAGGAAAAATGGTGATTCATCAATCAATATGGCATTGATTTTTATATCTTGTATGACTTCAGGGCTCAGAAAGGGAAGCAATTGAAATTCTTCACAGATTCTGAGTCATGACAGGAGAATGCTAAATGAGTAATCAGTCAGCAAGCATTTATTCATCATCTGCTATGTGCTAGACACTGGACTAGGCATTGGGAATACAAAGAATGAGGCAATCTCTACTCATTCTTTCAGGGGAAGTAATCTGTGCATATGTATATATGGATATAATAAATACAAAGTTACAAAAGAGGGAGGAGGGCACTAGGAGTTGTGGAAGGGGGTCAGGAAAGGATTCATGTAGAAGGTGGTATGCAGAGTCTCTCATGTGGCCTCCCTTTTCTTCCCCATTACCTGTGCTCACTCCACCCCACTCCCAGCACTAAGACCTAGATGGAAAATCTTTATCATCATAATTATTGTTATGAGCACCATCAACGCATATGAAACATCAATTATGGGATTATGGACCACTACCAGAAACCTTCCCTAACTTTAAAATGAGAAAAAGGTCCCCTGTAATTTATTCAGGTCCACTGAAAAGATTTGTGGATGTCTTTCTACCTCTGTCTCAGCATTGAAAAAGCAAAAGGATTTTTATGAAGTCGGCAAGAGATTTATTTTCAGAAGAGTGATTTTGCTGTTTTAGAGCGAGATATGGCATTAGAGGATTACAGATAGCTGATAAATGAGTAAATCATGATGATGTGGAAAAATATTCGACTTGCCAAAGAACTCATTTCTGAGAACAATCCAATGAAACACTTTAGTTTTGCTGGGTGCTTGCTTTGCCCATAGTTAGGTCTAGTGTTTGTCCAGGTCTTGAATTGTTTCCACCAGGACAAGACTAAGTGAATAAATCTTTGAGTAGTCCTGTTCTTGTTCATTCAGATTTTATATGAATTTTGTAATAAAATTATGTTATTTGAACTAGACCTCTGATTTCATTTCATCTTAGAGGAACATCTTATACCAATGTAGGTTGACACTTCTGTAACAACTTCTTACATCGTGGGGCACTTAGACAACCAGTATAAGTCATAGGCAGGACTTGAACCCAGGGTTTATTGACCTGGGGGCTTAGCTGTCTATCCATTGAATTAAGATGCCTCGAACAAGCTAATCATATACTCCCTTATTTAATTATTTTACTCCTTCATCTATGTATGTTTTATTCTCCCTCTCCCTCATCCCCCCCCCCAAAATGTTTCCTTCCATTGCCTACCACATACTGGGCCCTGAAGGAAGATAAGGATTGTAAAAAGCAGGGAGGAGGGAGTATATTGCAGGCATGGAGGTGGGGGGCAGGAAAGGGGGAGGGAGGAAAGATGTAGCTCTTGTGAATAGAAACAGAATGGCAGGTTCATTGCAACAGCTAGGGAGCTAGTTTAGCTGTAGTGTGTGAAGTAGAATAATGTGAAGCAAGGCTAGAAAAGTTGGTTGGAGCTAGGTTGTGGAGGGACTTTAGATGCTAGGCTCAAGAGTTTGCATTTTATCATACTATATACTTACTAATAGGGGGGTACAGATGTTTTTGAGCCAGTGAGTGACATGGTCAGGATATTTTGCCAACTGTGTAGTGGCTGGATTGGATAGGAGAGATACTGGAAGAAAAGAGATCAGTTAGGAGTTTATTATAATAACTTCTGGCAAGAGGCAGTCAAAACCTGAACTAGGATGGTAGAGATCAGAGGACTAATGTGAGAGAATTAGAGGATTAAAAATACTTCAGAAGTAGGGAACTTTGCAGGAGTGAGGAGGGTTTTGGTTTTGTCTTTGTATACCTAGCACCTAGCACAGTGATTTACATATAGTAGGTATTTAATATTTGTGGAATTGAATTTGTTGAATTTAGTTATTGTTAAGGACAGTCTTCATAGTTCATCGAAGGTATTTCCTAGGATAGTCTCAAAAAGAGACATCCTCTACTATAATGTAACTGAGTTTCTAAAAACTAAAACCTTATTCAGTCCTATTATAGCTAGTAGAGATAATGTCTTACCAGGAAGTTGGAGTCTAGAAAAAGGAGAGCCAAAAGATTTGTGAATATTTATTTAGTAATGTCTAGGGGTGAGGACACCCTTGGTTTGATTTGTTAAAAAAACAAAAACTTAACTGATATTTTTCTCGACAGACACTTCCTCACTAAACAGCCCCAGAAATTTCCCTACAGAGCACGTGTCTGCACCCCAGTTTATTGGTTGTTAACAGAAAGGAAGGATCTGTTGTTCAACTTTGATGATATGTTAATATTGACCATTGTATTTGACCAAAGTTCTGCTGCCTCTCAATGTTGCATTTGTTTATCTTATCATACATATTTGAGTGTATTGGATTTTTTGGCTTAGCTTTCTTCTCTGTTCCCATTTCACATGTCTTCTTATATTTCTTAGAATTCTTCATATTTGTCATTCCTTATAACACAATAATATTCCATTATATCTGTATGGTTTATGTATACATATAATATTTATTTAGTTATTACCCTATCAGTGGGTACATATTTTGCTTTTAGCCTTTTGTTATCACAAGGTTGTTATGACAGATTATTATTATTATTTTGCTGTCAGTGACCTTAGTAGTATATTACTAGTAATGGAATTGCTAGATTTAAAATTATGAACAACTTGGTAACTTTTCTTGCATAATTCAAAATTGTTTTCCAGTTGAACCAATTTATAGCCCTACTGGCAATAAATTAACATGCCTGTTTTCACATAGCCTGCCTAGCAATTAATTTTCCCATTTTTTTTTGCCTTTTTTGTTATCTTGATGGGCATGAGATAATCCTTCATATATCACTGGCTTGATAGGGTAATCTCTTCTAAGAACATCCAGTTCCCTTTTCGTGGTGCTGTGGGAAACATTCTGGATCTAGAGTCAGAGGACCTAGGTTCTAATTCTGATTTTGCCACTTACTACTTGTGTGACTTTTGCCAAGCCATTTTACTAATTTGGGCTATAATTAACCTCATCTGTAAAATTGGAGGAGAGGGAGTTGGAAATGGTCTCTGAGTTTTGTTAGCTCTAAATGGGACATTCATAACCTTTCTTGGACTCCTTTGGCAATCTGATGAAGCATGTAGACCTCTTCTTGGATTGACATTTTTAAATGCATAAAATAACATGCATATAATTATGATGAAAACTAATTATATCAAAATATGGTTATTAGAATATTTTTTTAAAAACAAGTTTATGGATCCTGGTTAAGAATTCCTGCTCTAAATCTGTGATCCTTCTCCTATAGTCCATGGACTGAATTCTCACAAAGCAACCTTACAGTATGGCTGTTTGGATGTTGAGGGCCAGAGCTGAAGAGTCTAATATGGGATAAGGAATTTAGGTTAGAGCTTGACTCTTTCCTTTTCTTACCAGTAAGGTCTTAATTATTCAGAATATTTGACTCACCAATTTCCCACGCCTGAGAGGTGTTACAATACTCTGCCCCATCCTTGAACCTCGATAGCAAGCCCGTGTGTATAATTAAAGTAACACCTTAGGGCTGGGATAGTCATAAGAATAGAGGGAACGCCTGGGGGTGAGGGTGATTGTTAGCTCTCACTATTTAAGCTGGACCCTCAGAACAATAAACAATAAACAATTAACCACTGGTGTCTTTTGGATTCTAAAATGAGCAAATCCATCAAAGGAGCAGTGTCTTGTATAGATAGATAAGTGGGTAGGCAGATAACTTTCTAGGCATATCTCCTTAAATTGGCATACTGTTTTCTAAATCAGTATGTTTTTAATTTGATTAGTATAAATTGGCTTCCTAGAGCCCAGCCAACTCTTTCTGGGCTCATGAAACTGACTTTTTGAGTATACAAAGCCCAAGACTAACCCTTGTTCTGGGGTACAGCCACTGAGAGATCCATCTTATGAATCTAGCCAACCTCTATTCTGCCATTGTTTAACTTGTAGTTGCAAAGCTGTTTATATTGTAGGCACCCAATAAGTATTTGTTGAGTTGGCCTGAACAGTATAAAGTTGTAATTTAGTTTTATTTTTCCAGGTATAAGAAATCATAAACTCAGAAGGTGAATATGGGTGAAAAGAAACCAGAGCCTCTGGACTTTGTGAAGGATTTTCAGGAATATCTCACTCAACAGACCCACCACGTGAACATGATCTCTGGATCAGTTAGTGGGGACAAAGAAGCAGAGGCTCTTCAGGGAGGTAGATTAATTTTTAAATATTATTATGTATTTCACTTATGTAACCTGCATTGTAAACACTTATTGTGAAGAACAAATAATATTATGTGAATTGTTTGCTTTTTTAAAAAGTAGAACATTTTATTCATCACCATTAATTAGTAACAGAGAATGTACTTTGTGAGGAGAAGCAGATGGAGTTCTAAAGATTTACTTTACTAAATTGTAGGAAAATAGTACAGTGAGCAGCTTTCCTAGAAATCTGAAGACCTGAGCTGTCTGTGACATTTGGTAAACTGTTTGACCACCTTGAGCCAGCTACTTGGATTCTCTGGGCCTCAGCTTCCTCATCTGTAAAATAAAGGGGTCAGATTAGATGGTTGCCAATGACTCTTTTAGGCCTAAAGTTCTGTGATTTTTAATGCTGATTGGTGCCAAACCTTTAAATTGTATATTAGGAGCTTAGTAACAAAGTAAAAAATTGAAGCTCCTGATAGACAAGTACTACTTCGAATTCATGTGTACAGTACTTTGAATTGGATGGAAAAGTGAAAAGTCCATTAATTCTTTCAGACTAAAGTAACAAAAATCTGTTCTACAAGTCATAATGTGATGACCATGCATATTTGGGGGGAATAATTGTGTTCTTTTATGCCAGTAACTTTGAAGTAAATTTTTATAACTTATACCCATATACATGTTTTCCTTCTGTGAAATAAGGATGAAGAATAATAAACAAGTAAGTGAACTGAATGAATCTTAGTGTGATTAATTAAATTATCATTTATAAATGATTTTGTACCACCTTAAACCAAAACTTCAAATTATAGTAATTCAAGAGACTTGATTTCTATTGCCATACTTTGTTTATAGCTGGGACAGATGGTGATCAAAATGGACTTGATCATCCATCTGTTGAAGTGTCCTTGGATGAAAACTCAGGAATGCTGGTGGATGGATTTGAAAGGACATTTGATGGAAAACTAAAATGTCGATACTGCAACTATGCCAGCAAAGGAACAGCACGGCTCATTGAACATATTAGAATTCACACAGGTAATGAGATCATTTCTTGGTGTGTATGTGTGGATGCTTGCAATAGTTTAAAAACTAAGCATAACACGGGGTTTATATTAATGAAGAAATACCCCTTTCCAGCAGAAGTATCACATAAAGTAGAGGCACAAATTAAAAATTATCAAGAGTCCCAGAGCCCTTCCTCTTTGGTAGAGAACATTCTTTTCTACAGACCTTCCCACCCCAGAGGATGAATAGTGGAGCTCCATAACACTGCTTCTGCAATGCATGCCAGCCCCCAGTGCCAAGTTCCCAGCTGGCCCCTTAGCATTTGCCTGGTGCTGCATTTTGAATTTGGTAATAATGTTGTTATTGACAGTAGGGTATGGCAAATGGTAATGGTGGGGAAATATCCCTAGTTCAGGAATCACATATACTTTAGTAATCAGATATTTCCAAATTACAACCTCATAAGATTTGGCAATAATCTCGGAAATCTTATGGCAGTTCCTGTGTGATGTACTGATAACCTCGAAATCCGACAATGGGGAAAAGTATGTCCTGCCAGCTTTGTGAATTTTGAAGTAGAATTGTCTAATTATATGCAAAGGACAAGAACACCACTTACAATTAAGGTTTTAGTGCAGTTTTAAGTTATTCAAGCTTAGCTTTAAGCTATTAAAGTTTGAAACTGCACTTAAGACCTTTGAAACACCCTGTACACACACACATACACATACATCTAATACATTATGGTGATTATTTACATTATGTACATTATATGCATTGGTAGCTTCTTTGCAACTCAAGTCTCAGGTGCCTGGAGCAGAGAGATTATAGACCTTCCCGAGGTCCCACAGTCAGGAGGTGTCAGAAGCAGGACTTGAAGTTTTCCTGGCTTTGATATCGGCTCTCACAATCCATCACAACATGTCTACATGATGATGTAGGGAATATCATTAATCAGATACTGTGATTGCTCCACTGTTTCTGCTCATCTACAAGAGTGCTTATTATAGCTAAAAGAAAATTTATAACAGTAGGGCCTTTGATAGACCTGGACATAACAAATTTGTGCCAATAAGAATAATTTACTTTAAATTATTTGTGTGTATGTGTGAAATCTCTTTGTTCCTTGAATTTCTTGTAACTTAGTTTGGACCTTAATTTTATACTAGTTTGTATTATAATTATTTGTGTTAAGTTCCTTACTTCCTTTGCTCTTTAAAGGCAAGGACTATTTCATCTCGTTTTTGTATCCCTCGTGATTAGCTTTCTTAGAACTAAATACATTTTTTTGTTAATTTAAATAACCTATCGTTAGGTTTAGAGTTGTATTCCAAATGTATCACTTTTCTGTGCTTATAAAGATAGTTCTGGGGCAGCTAAGTGGCACAGTGCATAGAGCACCGACCCTGGAGTCAGAAGGACCCGAGTTCAAATCCGGCCTCAGACATATAACACTTACTAGCTGTGTGACCCTGGGCAAGTTACTTAACCCCATTGCCTAGCAAAAGCCAAAAAAAATTTTTTTAAAAAGATAGTTCTTTACATTCCTAAATTCAATGAATATGAAATCATGAAATTTTCTATTAAATGTGCTTCTGTTATCACACCTTTATTTTTACAGGTGAAAAACCTCATAGATGTCACTTATGTCCATTTGCATCAGCTTATGAGCGTCATCTGGAAGCCCATATGCGTTCCCATACTGGCGAAAAACCATACAAATGTGAATTATGTTCCTTCCGCTGCAGTGATAGAAGTAATCTTTCTCATCATCGTAGACGTAAACATAAAATGGTACCAATTAAAGGTACTAGGTCTTCCTTAAGCAGCAAGAAAATGTGGGGGGTTTTACAAAAGAAGACTAGCAATCTAGGGTACAGCAGGAGAGCACTAATCAATTTGAGTCCACCTTCCATGGTGGTTCAGAAACCAGACTACCTGAATGATTTTACCCACGAAATCCCAAATATCCAGACTGATACATATGAAAACATGGGAAAAACGACACAGACTGGTGGCCTGCCAAGGGACCCACAAGAACTCATGGTTGACAACCCATTAAATCAGCTCTCCACTCTAGCAGGACAGTTATCCAGCTTGCCACCTGAGAATCAAAACCCAGCATCTCCTGATGTTGTTCCGTGCCCTGATGAAAAGCCTTTTATGATTCAGCAGCCCACCACTCCGGCAGTTGTTTCTGCTGTCTCAACAAGTATTCCTCAGAGCTCATCTCCTACAAGTCCCGAACCTCGGCCATCACATAGTCAGAGGAACTATAGCCCTGTGGCAGGCCCAAGCAGTGAACGGAGTGCTCACACAAGCACGCCCAGCATAAGTAACAGCCAGCCCAGCACGCCAGCCCCAGCCCTGCCAGTTCAGGACCCTCAGCTTCTGCATCACTGCCAGCACTGTGACATGTACTTTGCAGACAATATCCTTTATACCATTCACATGGGATGTCATGGGTTTGAAAACCCTTTTCAGTGTAATATATGTGGATGCAAATGTAAAAACAAGTATGATTTTGCCTGTCATTTTGCAAGAGGGCAGCATAACCAGCACTAATACAAAACAGTCGCATCATGCTTTTTTTTGGTCTTGCTTTTCTAAAATTTCATGTTTGTATCATCCTTAATGAGGTATCTACTAATTTAAGAGATCATATCTTATGTTTCCAAATTGTAAATTTGACAATGGAGACAAATTTTTCTTGTCTGGTTAGGGTCATTTATGTGTTAGTGATAAGGTAGATAGGATATAATTTAGTTTGAAGTCTTTTTTTTCCCCTCTTTGTTCGGTAGATAAGAATTGGAGTGCAATTATATTTTATGAGACTTCATTTAATTTTCTTACATTTAACACCCATAAACACTTTATAATGCTCATTCAATCTTCTTAGTATTTCTATTTACATGTTATTTCAGCTTGTAGAAGTGATTTTGGTACCTTGTAACTTCTACCATGTTCTAAAATGGTGATTTAAAAAAAACTTACTAAACCAAACCATTTAAAATGTTTAGTGGGAGGGCTATTTTAAAATTACTTTTAATTGATAACTTTATTCCTATGTTTTGAATTCAAGCAACTGTACCAGCTAAACTAACAACGGCTTTAACTGGTTTCAGTTTAGGAAATTGCCTTTTTGCCCAGGGGAAAAAAAAAGAATACGCAGTTTCTAATGTTAAAAAAAAAATTGTTATGAAAAAATTCAAATACCATTTTCTTGAAAAGAAAAAAAAAACCCAGCATCTCAAATTAGTTAGAAAATATATTGTTTACTTCCATGATAAAAATAAATAAAATTTCATATTTGTATCTTTTTATTGTTCTGGCATGGGTGAAAAAGTAGTGTCCAATTTCTGTTGTATTCACACTATTGCACTTTGAGTCTATTAAAAAAATTGAGCTAAGCAAAATAAGGATTTGTTTGAGTGAGGGTGCCTGCTATTTCATAGACGTGTCCCTGAAAATGTTTTTTTCTTTTAATATTGTATTTTTTCATTTTAAATTTGTTCTGGTGTTATAGGCATCAGACAGACCAGATAACTAATAGGAGTGGCAATTTCCTCCTAATAATTTGATTACCAAAGACGAACATCAGAATGTCATCCTTTACAATTACGTTTTTTTAGTCCTGGAAAATATCCTTCAAAAGGTTTTGAGGTTTTCTCCCCTTCCTTCTGTCCCTTACCTGACAATCTTTTCTGAGGAAGCTACAGAAACTTGGTTGTGTATAAAAAGTAATTTGAAAAAGTAATCTAACCTAAGTCAGAGCCTATTTAAAACCAGCCTTAAACTCTTGTGTAAATTATAGTTTAGTGCCAATATTTTCTTTGGATTCAAACTGTCATGCTCATTTGCAGGTATGCCAAACAGTAAATAATAATGGTAATAATAATAATTGTATGTGTGTGTGTGTGTGTATATACACACACACACACACACACACACACACACACATCTCTACGAAGAGCATTTACATCAGTTCAGTAATAAAGATGGAAGGGTAACAATAGGGATAAATTTTCCTAAATTTGACATTTGATGCTGTAAAGATTATAAGAAGTATTACATAAAAGTAGAGTGAATTCATTTTTAAAGAGAAAGCTATTCTTTTCCAATCATATAATTTTATAAAAAAAATAATTAGACTGGTTAAACAATTACTGATCATTTTAAAATGTAGCTTGGATCTGAAAATTGTACTACATAGTCTTACCCAGAAAATCTTAATTTTTAAGATATATTTATTAACCAAAAAGAACCTTTAGACCAAAATGGAAAATAGTGATGCCATTAGCTAACAGTAAAGCTTCCTGATTGTGTAAAGCTAATGGACTCTCCAGTCCCCATTGAGCTGAGGATGGCTGGAAAGCCATTAAAACGTGCTTTTGTGTTTAGCATAAATTATAAATTCATCTTGATTCTTTGATCAGGTATTTCCCCAAAACAGTTATGTCTCTTCCTCATGAAATTTAAAGGTGTAAGCCTCAGAAACAAACATTCTGTTTTGCAGTATTACTTAAATCTCTTATTCTGAAAATCATTCTTACTGTAGGAACCTAAATGTAAGACTTGGTTCTAGTATGTTAGTGTGAGAGGGAAGAAAGAATTTGAAACATTTTTGAATTAAAAAAAAATTCACCCTTGTATGCCCAAAATATAAAATGGAATTTTTAACTTAAAAAAATTTACCTGTGAAATTCAGAATATATATTCACTATGTTGTCTGTGCCAAACAATGACTTGAATGTTTTTCTGACAACTAAAAGTAGATTTTTAATGTGCATTTAAAAATTAAGCGGTAGTTTTCCAGTTTTATCCTAGTATATATGTGTGTGTGTGTATATATATATATATATATACACACATATATATGTATATATATGTGTGTATATATATATACACATATATATGTATATGTATATATACACACACACATACAAATACTAATATTTGCTATAACCTCAAATAAAGAGCACATATATACACACATATATATATATATACATATATATGTGTGTATATATATATATACACACACATATGTGTATATATATATATACACACACACATACAAATACTAATATTTGCTATAACCTCAAATAAAGAGCACAACTGGTATTCCAAAATTATTCCTGCTTAGAAGCTAAATTTAATTTTGAATGTGTTCAAATGCACTAAATTGTTAAAGGTCAATCTATTAACTTTTTTTGTATTAGTTTTAAAATTTAGGAACTTATTTAAATTCTGTATTTGGAAGAATGTTAATTCCTACACTTAAGTATTAAACACATATTTTTCCCCCCACTTTATTTTTAAAATGTCAAACATTTTATAAACAATTTGTTGGAAAAAATTTAACATGCACTATTTATAGTACTTTATTGTTAACAAGCATTTTAATGTTCTGAAACTAAATTTATTTTTGTTCAGTGAACGTAACAGTTTAGACTTTAAAGTTGGTAGATAACTTATCTCCACTAATATTTTTTTAAGAAACTAAGATTAACAGGGAATAATTTTATTTCAGATTTTACAAATGCAGTGTATAAATACAGCTTCTTGAAATTCAAGTAAAGACTAGAATTTTCTGTTCGGTAGTCCCATAGGGTATTTTCCATTGCTATTTCAATACAGAAATAGATCTGTTGCCATAAAAGTGCAGAATTTATGACAAAGGGAATGTTAAATTACCAAGAAATGTTCATAGGCCTCATGACTAATTCAGGTACTGAGAAAACATGTATCAAACTGATGTCCTATTACAGAAAAACATTCCCTGCTAAATACTTTTTCCATTGAGCAGTCTTGGAGTCTATATGCGTTGTGTTCACTTTTGTTAATATGTATTTCAATGTAAAGAGCATATTTTGTATTCAGAAGATGAAACTTGAGTTATGGATGTAAGATACATTATATTGTGTAGCGATTACAGAAAAATTTAATACTGAATAACTCAACTTTAGTGCAGTTCATGTTGTGAAACTTTGCTTTTGTAAAATATGAATAAAATAACACTTTCTAATGACTAATATCCTTTTAAAAAAATCTATAATCCAATTTATACTTAGTTAACTAAGCTTGTATATAGTGTGAATCAGTAAAAGCAGCTTTACTAAGCAATGATGTAGTGAAAAAACTGTTTTGATGTCTGCAAAGTACTTTAAGCACATTGTTTTATTTGATCCCATACTAAACCCTTTGAGGGAGGTATTCACGTTGCAGATGAAGAAACTGAGGCTCAGAGAGGTTAAATGAATTATTCATGGTCATAGTGTCAAAGACTAGAGTCAATCAAAGTGCCTACTACATGCCAGATGTGGTGTAAGCCCAGGGGATACAAAGAAAAACAAGCCCCTTCCTCCCTTGAAGGCACTCACAGTGTAATTCAAACTCGGGTTGCTCCTTATTTTGAATCTAAAACACTTTCCTCTATCCCATACTGCCTCAAAGTTAGTGGATAAGTAGATTGTTCCTGCTCGTCTCTCCCCCAATACTAGTTTGATGCTGACATAATCAGGAATCCATTGCAGTCTAGTTCTCTAAACTTCTGTCTTCCCTTTAATGTTTATTGTCTTTGTCCACCTCATCTCTACTTTAATCTGGGCAATTTGGGGGCCAATGAGCATCACAGACAGATATTTCTCACTAATTTCCTAGGCTGCATTTTATTCATATATCTTAATTTTATTTTGTGCAAAGCTCTCTAGCGTTATTATCCTGGGCTGCTTGCCCACAGCAGAGTACTGTGCTATTTTAAAAGCAACCCAGTTCCCCAAACCCTCAGTTGTTTGGTTGAGCTCACTGGAAAGCTCATAATATATTGTAAATAATTTTTTTTTCCTTTCTGATACCCTGATCTTTTAGGATTGAGTTCTTTTACCTCATCTTTGCTAATGTGCCTGGCTCTCTAACTAGTTTGTGAATGTTTGCTTGAAAAAATTACAGACAATTCATCCACGATGCAAATCAATTTAATACTCCTTTGGAACATATTTCTGCACAATGTTATCGGTTTCATGATGAAATAAGCAAATGACATCTGAAATGCTATTCTGATGGAAGCATGGAATTCTTTTAGTATTTCCTTGTCGCAGATCCTCCAAAAAGTCTGCCTTAAGCTTGTTAAGTTCTTCTACTAAAAGTTTCAGCTTGTAGGCAATCACTTTTTCATCTAAAAGAAAAATATAATCTTAAACAATTTTTACAAATTAAACAAATATGGGCTGATTATATGTCACCAGAACAATTTACCCATGTTACCTCTTGAGGGAAAAAGTAGTTATTGGGAACAGACTAAGTAATGATAATGTTCACTTGTCAAACAGTGGTACTGTTATCATGGAGACAAAAATGTTAAATATGATGCAGGCATATTAACTGAAATTATTCAAACAAAAGAAATTTGCTTCAATAGTTCATAGTTTTACTGTTACCAAATGGAAACAAAGCTAGAAGAAATCCTTATTTTGGCAAGAGTTAATGTAGGTGATTCATTATCTTATTGGTATTAAATGTAGTAATGGACAAGAAATTCCCATTTGGAAGATAATTTCTGAAAAACAGACTACCTGAAGGTTATCAGTGATCAAGGTAGTCTGACCAGTGTTGTTCTGTTGTGGCCTGGGCCTATAAGTCACCTCTTAGTACAATTTCATCTTCACTTTAGAAACAAAAAAAAATAAACTACTAATGAAAGTGCCCAGAAATTAAACATGTGATGATTTTACCTTTTCTGTTTCACTCCACTGTACATTTTCCTACTGTCTGGGACATTTAATTTAGCATTATTTTTATCTTGCAAGCTAAACTAGCACAATTGTGCTTCATTTTCTTTAATGTTGCTGAAAAATGTATGCTAGATTTTACAAGATAAAACAGTTTTACACGTGGCAGTGAAGCTCTCTATTTAAAGGAATTTTATGAAAAATGGTTTTCCAAAACAAACCACCCCCAATTTACCTATCGGATAGAGTCTGTGTGGAGGTTTATGAAAGGGCATGGACAAGAATCTCAGAGAATGAAGACACAGATGGATTATAAACTGTACTGGTGGAAGTACCCACATTGAAAACATCAGACATTCTCTGGAGTAATTTATATTATAAATTCAGACTTGTTTGACAATGTTTGAGGCCTGCATTAGTATTCTGCAATTCAAAGTTCTAGTTGGGAGTTGGGTTATATTCAATAAGCAGTCATTTGAATTTTGGCACGTGTTTTTGGAGATGAAATCAAAATGAAAATGAGAAGTCACAAATTTTATATTAAAATATATAATTCATTTTTAGTTGGCTGACTTATTTTACTCA